ATGCATAACAAAATCATTGTATTTCACAGGTTTGATTGGGATACGAGAAGGCTTTCTAAGTGCAATGGGAAGTGTAGAAGGAGAGGCTGGCAGGGTGACAACAGGTGTTGGAGAGGGAGTTTGCACTGGAGATGGAACAGTAGGAGTAGGAGAAGTTTGAGTTGGAGTAATGGGAGTTGGAGAAGGAGGTGTAACAGTCTCTTGGACTGGGAAAGAAGTTTCTGGAATTGGAGTTTGAGTAGGAGGTTCAGAAAAGGAGGAGAAAAATGGTTGATCTGTGAAACTTGGTTGAATAGGAGTTTGTCAGGTGAAGTAGAAGTACTAGGAGAATCAAGACAAGGAATGATATTCTCATGGAATGTGACATCTCTAGAGTAGAAGACTTTCTGTTCTGTGAGATCAAAGAGTTTATATCCTTTTATGCCTGGATTGAATCCTAAGAATACACACTGCCTTGCTCTGGGAAAGAATTTTGTTCGATTATGTCCTAATGTGCTAGCATAGCACAGACATCCAAACACCTTAAGATGAGACAAATCTGGAGGTGAGCCATACAGGACTGAATATGGAGTTTGGTTTTTAAGAGCAACAGTAGGCAATCGATTTATCAGTTAAACTGAGTGTAGAATGAAATCAGACCAAAACTTCAAAGGCAGACCAGATTGAAATTTCAAAGACCTTGCCAAATAGAGAATATGCTGGTGTTTTCTTTCCACCCTAGAATTCTGTTGTGGTGTCTCTACACAAGATGTTTGGTGTGTAATTCCATGGGAAGAATAAAAGGATGGAATGTGAAACTCAGAACCTTGATCTGATCTAACAGTCTTAACTCTTGCCCCAAACTGGTTTTGAATCATAATGCAAAAATCTTGTAACAATTGCCTAGCTTCACTCTTAAGTTTCATAAGATAGGCCCAAACACATCATGACTTGTCATCAACAATGGTGAGAAAGTACTGAAAACCATTGTAACTAGTTACAGCCAAAGGTCCCCAAATGTCTACATGGATAAGATCAAAAACATGTCCTGCCATAGAAAGGCTTGAAGAAAAAGGAAGACGCTTTTGCTTAGCAAAGTGACAAACATCACAATGTTGTATAACTTCTGTATCTATACTAGGTATGGACTTCTGCAACTCTTTGGTTCGAAAGAAAGATGGATGGCCAAGTCTCCAATGCCATAAATCAAAAGTCCGTGGTGTGAGATTTGGTGTCTTGATGGAATTGACAAGTATTGGTGAGTCTCCAGTGTGGCAAGTAAGTTGATAAAGACCCCTAATCTCGCGGGCAAAACCAATCCTCTTCTGGGTGAGTAAGTCCTGAATGTCACACAGATTGGATTTGAAAGTGAGTGTGACTGGTAGAGTCTTAGTAAGTCTACTGACTGAAATCAGATTAAAGGAAAAGGCAGGTACATACAGGATATCATGTAAGATGAGCCCTGATGACAGTTTAATGGTTCCAGATCGAGTGGCAGGTGTTTTAGAACCATTAGGAAGGGTAATGAAAGTGTTTTGGACAGGAGTATGTGAAATAAATGAACTCATTTGCATGTAACATGATCAGTGGCTCCTGTATCAAGGAACCACACATTGAGAAGCTCTAATGGGTGCTTTAGATAGTATGTGCTCAAGGTGTATTTACCTGCAAAGTTTGGGCTTACAGAAACATGTCTTCCAATAGAGTTTACCATAGGTTGATTCTGTTGTGGCTGCATAGATGTAGTACCAGGAGATTCAGGTGATGTTGGAGATGGTGGAGAACTGAACTGGTTGATAAGCCTCTGCAGTCTACTGAGGTCTTCAGTGGACAACCTTATGTTGGTAAATCCATCTCCCACTTCAGATGCACTCTTTGTTTCAGGTTTAGTTAGAATACCACTCCCTTCACTCCCTTGAATCTGTCCTGCAAACCTAGATGACCTTCCTTGCTCTTTGAGAGAGTTCTTTCTTTTCAGCTTATAACAATCAGCTATGACATGGTTGTCCTTCTTACAATAGCGGCAGAAAAGACCTCCTTCGGTAGTCTCTTGTCCTTTTGACTGATCAGAAGCAAGTAATGCTACTGAGTCCACCTGTGAATCTGGTAACAAACTCATTCTCCCTATAATTCTTCATAGTAGTCTCAGTGATGCAGATAACAGTCCCATGTGCATTATCACCACAAACACAGTTAAGTATTGGAAGAAATTGACCCAGTTCTTCCCAATACCCCTTAAGCTCAGAATAAAATTGATTCACAGATCTAGTACCTTGCTTAAGGGAGTAGAGTGCCGTCTTCAAATCACAGATCCTGATGTTGTCTGCTTGGCCAAAACGTTGTCTGAGATCTTCCCACAACAACCGAGCATTCTCAATGGCTGAGACAGCATCGACGAGACTTGGATCGAGGGAACCCAAAATCATGAACAGCACAGATGTGTTACTCTGTTCCCAGGCTGGGTAGGACTCATGAGTTGGATCTGGAGTTGGAATCGACCCATTTATGAACCCCAGTTTGTTCTTGCTCTTTAGGGCAACACGCACTGTCCTGCTCCATAGATTGTAATTGGAAGCTCCAGTGAGCTTGATAGGGAATGCCAGAGACTCATTAGGGTTTATATAGAAAGGACTGGTGACAGAAGGAGCCACAGGTTGAATGGGTCCAGAACCCATAGTAGTGGAGCTGGAAGAACTATCAGCAGCTTGAGTCGCCATAGATTAGCAAAACTCAGAACGATAGGAGGAAGAAGAAGAATGCGGGTGAAACAGGGAAAACCATAGACGCCTGAACCAGGCTCTGATACCATGTGAAAGTTTGAGAATGGATCATATTTGTGGTGAAACCCGCAAAAGGCTCTTTGCCTCAAGGGCTGGAATATATACTGCGAGTTAACTCGCTGCTGTACAATCAGTTTAATTACAACGGATATAAACGGAATCAAGGCTAACTACTAATCAGAAAGCAACACGTGTTATGTACAGTATTAATTGAAACGAACTAAACACTGAATGGAACGCCATCGTTTCTTCACCAGCTCCTCAACTGCTTCTGGTTAAAACGTCACCGTGCCGCAAGCTCTTCAGTGTTCATCGAACAGATTCATCCCCTGCAGTCATTCCCAGGAACATCGCCTTCTCTAATATCCTGTTTCCAGTATTGCCAATAAAACTAATTTATTCCGGTGTGGGTTCTCACATCCTTAAGCCTCTATACTTACGAAGTTCCTTAAGTTAATAAAGAACATTAGACAAATCTTAGATAGTTAATGTCCAGAACTAGTTGATCTCAATAACTCGAGATAATAGGATCATCATGTATATGGGGCTGAAGTTCGCACATGTCCAGAATACATGTGTTCAATATAACAAATGGGGATCATCGGGATTCGAACATAAGACAACTCAACCACAGAAGGCTCTGACGAAAAACCAGGGAATGTGTGTTCAACAAAAATGACATGATGAGAGAGGAAAAAGCGGCGGCTAGAGGGATCAAAGCATCTATATGCACTCCGTTGGGGACAATAACTTATTAAGAGACATGGACGAGAGCTAGGGTCGAACTTAGTAGGAGCATACGAGCACAACCAAGGGTAGCACATACAACCAAAAATGCGAAATTTGTGATAATTAGGAGGGAGATTTAAAAGAGTGGTGTAAGAAATTTTTACCGCATAGAGCGGAGTATGGGAGACGTTTAATGTTAGGTCACCCAAATCGTGGTTATAGATCCCGCGATCCCACTCTAGAGCGGCAAAGCGCAATTTTTCGGAAATCCGCGGAAAAGTCGCGAATTATTGAATCTCGTAGCGCGGATTTAATTTAAGAGAGCGCGATTTATTGGAGTACTGGCACATAGGAGGCAATAAGAGGCTGGAGAAGGGCCAACGACTATTGGCAATAGACTGGGATTGTTTTGCGGCAAGAGGGGTAAAATCGCAGAAGTACGCCTGTAAAACCCAGATCTGCTACCTTGTGCGGTATGAGTGAGCGATGATTCTTCGCTGCCAACAAACCTCTAAGAAGCACCGGCGCAGCCGTCAACTTACCCTGATCAGACCACCCCAAACAAATCAACTAAAGAGGAATCGATTGCCTGGCCGTTGACGGAGGAGTAACGGCGAGCATAAGGTAGGGATTCAGGTCGTCTATAGAGATGACAAAGAAAGCACTACTACTAAATCTTCTAAATTAAAAGGAATCCCGAACTGATTGAATGCATCTGCTATAATGATTCGGTCGTCCAAAACAAGGATAAGGAGAGATGCATGCAGGGAAAGAATTTTGAGATTGTAATTAAGATTGTTCGTCAATCGTCTTTTGGCTAAAGAAAGAAATTGGAAGAGGAAAGGAGATGGACACGGAGAGAGAGTGGGAAGAAAGAGGAGTGGGCCAAGGCAACATATGTAGCTTTGTGGGTAACTTGAGTTTTGGGTACTAGAAATAATAGGTATTGGAGATCCATTTTAAAAGGTAATGGTTGGTGAAATCATAAAACAAAATCCATTCCTTATCGAACCTCTTATTGGTGTCGTATTTTTTTATATAATTCATTACGAAAAACTAGTATTTAGTGTTTAATTACAATAAAAGTATATTTAAATAATATAATATTGACGTTCTATCCACTCTCTCAATATTGAATTCTTTAAATATCGAGCTCTGACGCTTTTGTTCTTGCTCCACGCTTACATATTTGTTTCATGGTGTTATTTCTCATGTGTCTGTTGTTTTATCCGCAGTCAGGGAATTTTAAATAGGGAACAATTTTCCTATTCCACTTCGTGTATTGTGTAGATACAGTAAGGAAATCCCAGCTCTCCCCAGCAGGAGCTCAAATTCTTGCTCAGCCTCTATGTTGACAGCACTGCATGATGGTTGACTGAATTTATAAAATTATGTACAATTCTGATTAATTGTTGAAATTGAGTAAAAAGATAGATTAGCTACATAAATATTGTACTAAAATAATTAATAGAATTGCGTGATGATATTGATTTTATAAGTGAATATTGAAACATGAAACTTGTCTGGCAAAAAATGCAATGTACTTAAATAATTCCACTCCTAGTTACTTTAATTTAAGACAAAACAATATTACCATTCAACAACTATCGCTCCCCTTAGGCTTTTCAAGCCAAGGTTCACATCAACTCTTTCTTTACCTTTGTACTTTCTTTGTCAGAGGGACGAGGTGGTAGCAAATCCTCATCTATATAGAGACATTTTGTTAACGAATATCTCAATTAATAAATCGAGTAACGATGTGCATTTTCATGTATTTACCTTTGCCAATTAAGTTACTCTTTCTGAAGATATGGATTTTATAAATGGGGACATGCCGCCAACGTTCATAAAATACAACTGTTTGGTAAATATGAACATAACTACTATCATTCCTCTTATGATGAGACTCCTGGAAGCCTTCGAAAGTTACGTAGAATACGTACCAATAGCCACCAAGCCAGACATTAACGTTCTGAATATTGAGTAAAATCAAGTTTTGACCCTACATTATTTCATATAGCGGTAAACTCAGGGTTCAAGAAGGCGCGCCTAGGCGCACGCCTAGGCTCAATTAGGCGCTAGGCGGTGGAGGATCGCCTTGACTTGGCCATAGGCATTGTAAAAGGCACTGGTAGCGCTTAGTAGGTAGGAATAGCGCTTAGTTTGCGCCTAGTGGAGAGAAGGCGTGCCTGGGCGTTCCTGGGCGAGCTTAGGCGGTTAAACCCAATACTCTTCGTTTTATCCTAGAAAATCATAAAATTGCCTCTTGCCCTAGAAAATCAGAAACACGGGAAGTAACATCTGCTGCCGCCGGCCGCCATAGCTCTCGCCCCATTTGCTGCTCTCTGCCGCCGTCGGAGAAAGTCACCGATCACTCTTCTCGCCTTCACACTGCTTCGCTGCTATAGTGGGAAATAAAGTCGAAACTCGTCAATTGCTGCTCCTTCCTTCTCCTCGGTACTTAGCACAAGCTTCTTGCCTTTATAAGCACCTATTAGCAGATGATTGGTCACTATTTGCTTGTTATATGTTATGTTAAGTGTTTACTGTTAAGAACTAGGCATTGCTAATTTTATATGCACTTGGATTATGAATTATTCCAGAAAATAGGAAATATTTGAGAATTTTTCCATTTATGCTCTAAACGCCTAGGCGCGCCTAGGCTATGCCTAATCGAGCAAGGCGCAAGTCAAGAGTCAAGCGCCTGCCTTACGCTTAGCGCCTTTTAGAACCTTGGGTAAACTATATATCCTATCCTACAAATAATATATGGAAGTTCTCGTTAGGGACCCCCTTAATTTCACTTTTCCCTGCTCCAGCGCATAGCACGGGAGGGGCCTTTGGTCATTTCCTTTTTAATTCTCATGAGCCTTGGTATGGCTACGTATTCCCAGCTTGCTGCATAAAATACATCTCCATGCAATTTTATTATTATTACATACACAGCTAAGTCTTATTATACATTTAGTCCAATTTATTATTATTACATACACGCTAAGTCTTATTATGCATTTAGTCCATTAAACGAGACACTTGCCAAGTGCGGGGTGCAATAAACCCGTTTTCAAAAGCGCACCGAATGCTGAATTGGAAAAGTTAATGATTCATGCTTCAACAGTTAACCGGTATAAAATTTTCAATTAACTGTTCATAGAATCGTTCATACGCTATATGTAAAAGACATATAATTCATTAATTTATGAGTGAATTTATCACTATCCATAAAAACTTATAAATCCAGATCATCTATCACAAAAAGTTCGAACAAAGCATTATGTCAAAAAAAAATTATATTTTTTTCTTAAATTAAAGTCAATAATAAGAGTGACAATACATAGTGAACCATATAAATCCGACAAGGGGGTTGGGAAATGAAAATATGAAGCATAAATAAAATTAGTAATTTAGGTTGGATAGTCTTAGTTTACGTTAACATACCTTTTTCTTTATTTTTTGTGTGGTTAAAATAGTGAATCGGTGTCCGGTGGTTATATGTGCCAAGATTCTTATTTTAGAATGAGCTAATCTTTGTTTCTTTAATCACACACTCAAGAATAAAGATTTAGCTTATTACATATTTTTTAAGTTAATCTAATATTCATTGTGAAACCAAAAAAAAAAAAACAAACATTTGTTTCACTGTTGTTTTAATTGGAGGTTAGTCCATACGAAATTCAAACTAATATCCAATCTCACAACTTAAAAAAGAAGTTGTTTCGAGAAAGTGGTTGCCAATCGATCCCAAGACGGACATTTTCTTTGTCTCAGTATGATAATTATTGACTAAAAGTGTAAACTAACAACAACCACGCAAATTCAAATCTATGATTCGACTTTTGAAACATTATTAATATTCCTACTTTTTTTCTTCAAGATAATGATATTTGAGTGAAAATTCTCAAATGGAAAAACAAGGACTTTCGTCCCCTGTTTTGTGACTAACGAGTTTACAATATCAAGAGTTTATGGCAAGAAATTCTAAAAAATTGGTCTCGGGTTTGAATCAAATACAGAAGGCAAAGCATGCAATGATATTCCAGCCATACCAACTTACAAGTTTAATTTCATCTAACAAGATAAGATTGACAAGAAATGCAACCACAGAAAATTTCTTTCAGTTTTGAATTATTATTCTCAATTCAATTTTACTTCATTCTAATGTGTATACTTATTGACTAAAAGTGTAAACTAACAACAACCACGCGAATTCAACTCTATGATTCGACGTTTGAAACATTATTAACATTCCTACTTTTTTCTTCAAGATAATGATATTTAGTGAAAATTCCCAAATGAAAAATCAAGGACTTTCGTCCCCTGTTTTGTGACTAAAGAGTTTACAATATCAAGAGTTTATGGCAAGCAATTCTAAAAAATTGGTCTCGGGTTTGAATCAAATACAGAAGGCAAAGCATGCAATGATATTCCAGCCATACCAACTTACAAGTTTAATTTCATCTAACAAGATCAAATTGACAAGAAATGCAACCAAAGAAAATTTCTTTCAGTTTTGAATTATTATTATCAATTCAATTTTACTTCATTCTAATGTGTATACAGCCAAAGAAATTAATTAAAGTTTTAAAATTTTCTGTACAATGTTGTTGGCCAGCTTATTCAGTATTCGGGTTTATTGACATCTAACACTCACTAGAAAAATTACCAGCGATGAGGCTCCAACTAAAATTTCCCGAGTGTTTAATTCTTTTTATTTTTCAGTTTAAAATAACATGCTTTACTTTAACTCTAATAGAAAATCTAATATACAATTTGGTGCAGGGATTGGTTGTCAAGGTAAGTCTCTTTGGTAGGATAGTTACCCAATTAAGTGTCATCCTTGCAAATGCAGGTAATCGCCCTCTCATTCTGGTCATTACATCATTATACGTCGTTCCATACAACGATAAGGAAACATTTTAATTACTTTGTCATTACTAATCAAACCATTTGCAAGTAAATATGACATTTAACTAAACGATCGTCAAATTTGCAAGCGATAAAACTTTCTCCTCCTCTGGAACGACTTTGTTGTTGGCAAATCCAAGAATTTCGGAATCATTAATTTTGGGGCAAGGTGATATTCACGATAATTTAATCACTCTATTTTGGTTACATGTTATCATTAAATATCATTATTCTTTTTTTTTTTTGTAAGAAAGTGACTGAGATTGACGAACTCTTCCCGTGAAAAGCACGAGATCACCTCAGCAGCTAATTTCAACCAAAACCGTGCAAATGCTAAATCAATTAAATTGAAGGATGGAGAAGAGGTAAGTATCAATTTTGATTTAACGACCCATTAACTATCAAATGCTAACATTTTATGTCCTATGTATTCCGTCAAAAACAAAGTTGTCAAAGTTAATTAAGAAGGGTGGCGTTATGCTGGATGAGAAACCGGTCCACAAAAGTATAAGTTTCTATTGTTGTTTATGTCATTACTAAAATTATACTTATTCAAGATCCACCTTCGAGTTTGTGGACAAAACAACTGAGGCTAAATTTTGTTGTTATGGATCGAGAAGGGAGATGGATTTTTCAGAATGCCAGATGAAAGGCTATTTGAATACACCGATAGAATGGAGGATTATCAGCTGCTCATCTCTTATAAACTGAGGGAACGATGTTGAAGTTCGATATCAATATCACATATTACATCACTAATCAACAAGTGAGTACACCATTTCCAGGATAGGGAAGGATGGGAAGAGCAGAACTCAGACGCTCTTCTGACTTGATCGAGGTAAATTATACTTATGAAAGTGATTATCAATATTAATTACAAAATTGTGATATTCTTTATTGAATTTGGATTATATTTGGAACATGCACCCTCTGATTATTATTTAACATACATGCCTACCATGTCTACTTCTCACATGTTAAATAGGCAAGGCAATTAATTGTGTCTATCGTCCAGTAAATAAATTGTTGTCAACCGTATACCATGTGTAAATTATACTTAGTTATAGATTCAATATAAAGATTTTCCATTTTTATATCATGCACAAATGATACTCAGTTGTATTCTTTAAGATCTACAAATGTATTTAATTGTATAACTTAAAACTCAAGAGAAACTTTCGTGTATTGCTCACAAGCATGCATGTCTTTGTAACTTGGTTGTATTATCAAGTCTAGCTATACGTCTTCAACTTTTATACCATGTTCAAATATATGCCTTCAATATTTAAACCATGCGCAAATGACACTCAGTTGTATTCTTTAATTTATGGGCAAGTGCATGAGTTTATAACATAAAACTCCGACGGAATTTTGCTTCCTTTCACACTAACAATCAAGTAATTGTATCCGGCTACAATTTCAACTCTAATATATTTTAAAGACCTATGATTCTAGAAAATCACACCATATATAGCGCTTATGAACGTCAATGATCATAATGATGTATGTAGTAGCTTTGATGCTAGAGATGACGATGATCTTGAGAAGAAGAAAGATATTGTTCGTGATGAAGATACAAGTACAAGTGATGAGGAGAAAGAACAAATTCTAGATATTGTTCATAACTTGGACGAGGTAAATTCTAATCCAATGAAAATGATGATTGGTATTTTTTCTTTTTACTCAATAAAAATTAGGAAAACAAGAGATTATTGACCAAAAGAAGAAAGAAAAGGGAATTCATAGTGGAGATAAATGCATCACTAACTGAATGGAGACATCAATATTGGTGCAGATGATGATGTTGCTCATAACAGAGGAAGTGAAAACGACTCAAAAAGAAAATGTGCAGTGATCTCTGACAATACAGAGTAGACAAATTGGTGATTTTAAAATGTCTTTAGGAGTCGGTTCGGGTTATCTTTCATTTTCGTAAAAGATTTTCAGTCGATAAATTAGTTACAATGTTTGGGGGAAAAACTATGATATTGATCATATTTACTAATTTGGATTTTCTTATTCTACCAATCAATTTAAATATTTCAAGTATTTGAATAATTTAAATTTTCTTAAACTATCAACATCCGTGTATCTCACATGCAATTTGATATTATTGTTTACATGATTGGAGACTGAATCCGGCCAATTGGCCGGGCCTGTCACTAGTTAATGAGAAATAAAAGCATTCCATGGAATATATATGGAATAAGAACACATATAACCTATATATATACCTTTTGTTGATTATATGTGTCCACCACAAATTTGACAGCTCTCTCAACTTTCTTGTCCAAATTTCGATCAGTAGTATGATAATGTTCTAGACGATAGACGTAACCTTATTTCGATGATGGAGGGCAATCGACATCGAAACCCTGTGCTTATCAATGAAAGAGGATTAGAAAAAGGTTATAAGGGGGGAAAAACGAAACCCTAATTAGAATAATCGGAGTTACAATTATGATCAGTTTTGAGTAGCTCCGGTACTCCGATGATGGAGGGCAATGTTCTCGACGATAGATGTAACCATACTCCGATTATGGAGGGCAATCGACATCGAAACCCTGTGCTTATTTAATGACAGCGGATTCAAAATAAAAAGTAATTAAAGAAACAACAATGCGAAACCCTAATATGAAAATTGGATTTAAAATTATGATCGGTTTTGAGTAGCTTACACCGGTGACCTCGCATTTCCTCCGGTAATGAATGACCCTTAGCATTAGTTCTTCGTCGCCCTCGAAATCGTCGCTCTGCCCTATGTAATCGTGGTCGTCCGGCTTGGGTTTCAGTTTCAGTTTATCAAGTTCCCGGCAGCGTTTGCAGCGGCCAATACCGTACCGGAGCTGCGGCCATTTAGGTTTCTTCTGATCCCGGGGGAGATTTGCGGCGGCGGCAGACATGGGGATCGACGACCGACGCGGCGGCAGATGAAAGGCGATATTACCGTGAAAGAACTAAAAAGAGGACAATTCTGCGAGTGTCAATATGAATTTATGAACAGGCTCGTCGAGGTGGGATCGAGCAGCCTATATGGTTGGGCTTTGGTCTCTGCAGCCCATTTAATGGAATATAAACCTGGACCGGCCCAAGGAATTAGCGAGCAATAAGCGCACCGTTCACTCTCTGTATTCGGAAAGGTTGTCAAACCGGTTTATGCCAGTGTGCCGGTTTAGCAAGTGGAATGGTTCAACTGATGACACATATCGGTTTGTGCCGGTTCATGTCGGTCAATATTACAAATAAAATTGTAAATACTCATATTTAAACATGCCATTTAACGTCAATACCTAAACATTTATACTTGAATCCAACAAATAACGTTAATATTTAACTTTTATACTAATAAAATAAATAATAAAATAATTTTTATCAATTAAATTCACTAAAATAAGGTCATTTTACTTAAAGATTCGTATATCGATCATGTCGGTCATACTGGTGGTGTCACGCCAGTTTTATGATCGGTATTGGTTGAACCCGGTACAACCGGTGGCACGCCGGCCGGCGTGACAACCATGGTCTTCAGGTTTACCAAAAAACCATTGTTAAAAGAACCGAACCGGATCAATGTTCGGGCCAGTAAAACTATCAAACCTGCGGTCAGGTTCATTTTCTGGACGATTCTTGATGGACCAAACGATTTTTCATTGTTCAACATAAAACCAGATGAACTACTGTGGTTTAACTGGTTTGGTTCATTATTTTAAGAGACCCCTAAATCACTAACTTTTCCGGTTCAACATCCGGTCCGACCCTGATGAGCAAAAACCACAACTATTTTACAGTTTTTGTTTTAACCAAATAGTAAATGTACCACCTTAAGCAAATACCACGTCTATAAAGTATGAGAGAGATTTATAATTTATAAGTAAGAAATTGAACTTAACTAATCATATGTGTTTTTGGGTGAAATGAAAGTTTTTGTAGTATCTTATTAGAAAAAGGGTCGAGATGTTACCGTAAATGGATTATAGGTATAATATGCCCTTCTACTATGTCGTTTTATCAAACATGCCCCTCTACTATTTTTTACATCAAACATGCCCATGTACTTCAGAAAAATGATCAAACATGCCCTTATGTTAATATTTTAATCCAAACACAGTCAACCACGGTCGTACCTTGATTTGGGCGACACAAATGTCTAAAATATCCCTGGTAATTTCACTTTAGAATTTTTTGGGTTCTTTTGTAGAGTCAAATACCTCTAATAATTTCACTTTAACGAGACCTAGAAAAATAAAATGGGGGACAAAACTGACATTTTTCCTCTCATTTACCGATGTCGGGTCGTCTACATCTCGGTTCAACCATGGTTGACGATTTTTTTAATGAAAATTTTAACAGAAGGGCATGTTTGATAATTTTTCCAAAGTACAAGGGCATATTTGATGTAAAAAATAGTAAAAAGGACATGTTTTATAAAACTACATAGTAGATGGGCATATTATACTTATAACCCTACGGTAAATAAATGTAACTTTGAGCCGGTGCGTGACAACTTGGCTCGTAGGAGCCGTATAATATATACACCACTCGTCGTGGCACATATATAGGTCCTTTTATGTTGACTAATTACCATTGCTGTTAGCTTGTTATTTAGCTGAACTACCACCCTCTCCATTCCCAATTCCGTAAAGGCATGTTTTTATTCTTTCTTAAACTGGTTAGGTCAGGAACCGGTGGTGTGTGTTTGTGTCATCTACGTATTCAAATCACGAAGATCATAGAATCGACATTTCAACAACAAAACAAAACCATAAATAATTGCAAGGAGGAACTTCAAAAAGTCAACTAAATAACCCGACTCATTACATTATATATAGACCTAACTAAAACGAAAAACCAAAGCCGAGGAGGAAGAAGAAAAGAATATGGCGGCTCATGAAGCTCAGTGCCAGAGAATCCACCCATCCCCGGCGGCCGACGTGGAGTCACAACAACCACCGCCAGCTCGCCCCAACCAGAAACCCATCTCCACCGCCACGTGGCGGCCACCCACCCACCCTCCCCCAATTCGGCCCCCTCCCCCGCCGCCACTAGCCGCCGGAGCCCACCTGCTAAAGAAACCCAAACGTAGTTGCTGCAGCCCATGCAAGTGCGTGTGCTGGACGCTCGCCATCCTCCTCCTCCTCACCATCGTCCTCGCCGCCACCGCCGGCGCCATCTACCTCATCTTCAAGCCCAAAGTCCCCAACTACTCCGTTGACAGCCTCCGCATCACCGACCTCACGCTCAACATGGACCTCTCCCTCACCGCCAAATTCGACGTCCGGGTCACCGCCGACAACCCCAACGACAAGATCGGGATCTACTACGAGAAAGGCGGGGTCATTAGCGTGTGGTATCAGGGGACCAGCCTCTGCGTGGGGCCCATCCCGAGGTTTTACCAGGGACACCGAAACGTCACCAGGCTCCACGTGGCGCTGGCGGGGAGGAACCAGTACGGGAGCGCGGTGATGTCGGCGATCCAGCAGCAGCAGGCCACGGGGAGGATTCCGTTGGAGCTGAGGATACACGCGCCGGTGGCGGTGAAGCTGGGCGCGTTGAAGATGAGGAAGGTGAAGGTGTTGGGGAAGTGTTTGCTGGTTGTGGATAGCTTGAGTTCCAGTAGTAAGATACGAATCCAGGCCAGTGATTGCAACTTCAAGTTGAAGCTTTGAATGAATGAATGAATTACAGGAGGGGATTTTTTTTATATATTTTATTTTGGATTTTTAAATTTAGTTGGGTTGCTTCATTTTATGCATTGATTTCCTTGTTCCAAAATTTTAAGCTTATTTTCTGATTCTTTTGTATTATTATTATTTTTTTTAGTTCTAGGAGATATATTTTTGTAAATTATTTTTTATTATTATAATTTATACATAAATAGAGAGTTGATTGGCTATAAACTCGAATAACTTGCTTTTATGAATTTATCGAGTATTCATGGGTAATTGTTATACTAACTTTGTACTTATATATGATGAGTTGGATGTATATTATTGTTTCTCTTTAGGTTGTTAGATTAATTAGTTTGAAGTTGATATGGTTCAAATTCAAATGCTCTTACTATGAGGTTTGCCGGGTTTTGAAATCTTGATAGTTAATTGACGTGTTAGAGTCAAATTGTTTTGAGTTAACTTGTAGATTCAACCTAAGCAACAGAAAGTTAGAAACAAAATTGAATGTTATATGATGATCTTGAACCAATTTTATCTGGGATCGCAATGTGTTAAAGCTGAGTTAATGCTCAACAAATTCTCTGTTACAACTTACAAGTAATCAATCTCAATGAAATTTTGTAAGTAAAAAAATATATGTTCATACGTTAAGAAGATATGAGATTTCTTGTGTAAAACCATTTTTTTTTTAATAATAATCAACATACATTAAAACTAATGAATTAGTGACATTTTGTAAAAATCAAACCAAATGAACCATCAACAAACCCACTGAAAGTCGAAACAAATTGAGCACTCTATATGGTATTCTATAATAACGCGTTGGAGAATTGTGAAGCCAAATGGATTATTCTTATTACTTTGGTGGACTACACATAACTTGCATATAATCTCCCCAAAATACTGGATTTGGTGCGCAGCCGACCACATCTTAACCTACCAAGTTCACTGTTTCCTGTTATTCATGCTAGTAAGTAAACAACAAATACAAGTTGCCGACTTCAAATTTGGTGGGTAAACAAACAATTTCCAATTCCTAACTAATCGCTGCTTTTTGATCTACTGGACTAACGTGAATCAAACCAAAACCATAATCATATAATAAAATGAAAGAGTTCAGACTTCGGACTGGAAAAACAGGATTTCTTGTTTTGCAAGTTATGTACGGAGAGCTACAAGCCGCATTTCTAATCACCTATTAAAGCCCTAGGCCTATGCGGAATGGTGAACAGGGACATTCCAGTCTGAGACACGGCTCGAACGAACCCCATATTAGCCGTTAAAGTTGGAGCACGCCAACTGTCACCAGTCCCAAACACAATCTTGCTCTTCAAGTCTAGCTTCCTCGTCGTTGGCAGGCTGAGCATACGCCCTGATGGACTGTCAGGGGCAACCCTGTTCCGTAACAACCAAAGTTAGTGCATTCGTGGTACAAAATGTGGATGCATTGAGGAGAGAAACTACAGAGCTTGGAATCGAGTAGTTCTTCAAAGTTCAGAGTACTTTTTAAGGCAGGTTATCCGGATTTGGTTCGTAGAAAAGATGATAAGGGAAAGCGGTGACAGATCTGTAACTTACAAGAGACGTTCAAGCAATTTATGGGTTCTTAGCTTCTCGTTGGCACCTCCAAACATTGATACCAATTCTTTGAACTCTGAGAGCACGCTGCTGCATACTATGCCCCGTTTCCCCGATACTACAGGGACCAGTTCAGCAAGCAATGGATTCTCGACTTCAGACATAACCTGACAAGACATTGAACTAAGATATCTAGTTGAAATTTTCATACCTACTTCTCCAGCCTTTCGTTCATTCATGCAACTTGCTCCAACTACTAGTACTCCAGTATGCTGAAAATCTAAATACACAAAAATGAGATAGACAGAAGGAAAAAGAGCTTTTACCTGTCCAATTACAAACTCAGTGTTCCCCTTAAACTGCTGTTGCAATTGGAATTCTGGCGCAGCCAAAAGCTTCTCTGCACATCCATTGCTTATTCCAGAAACAATAGCAACCAGTGCTGTAGTACCAAAATTCAAAAGCTCATCAATGCCTTGCAAAACCCCAGGAGCAGACAAATCCTTACCCCTAATTTCTGGAGGCCATGTTCTCATTCCGGAGACAATGGAACAAAACAGATCGTCTGAGTTTAGTTTCAGACTCCCATCTTGATGATCCGAAACTGTAGGTGCACTAATTCCAGATCCTGATCTTGGAACTCCAACAGCATCATTGTCCAGCTTTATCTCGAAGACAGATGCTTCACGGTACGATCTTGTCACCACGTTTATCCACCCACCGTCTACTACCTCTTCACTGAAATGAGAATCAAATCCAGATAGCTGAAAGTCAAACTTAGAAGCCCCAAACTCATCCTCAAGATTCTGGCGGACAGAATCGCCAACTCCACGAGGGAAGAAGAGGATAATTGACAGAGGCCTCATCATCTCAGTAGACCGAGCCGCAGCAATGACTTGTTCAATCCTCAATTTCAAGCCTTTGCCTTTGCGGTAGCCATGCCAATACACATACATAGGGTTCCTATCCGAAACAACGATCCACACCGGTCTTTTATTGAGCGTGCAGACTATATCAACATGTACACTAGAAGACAATGACGAACCACAATCAGTTTCATCCTCGTGATTCCCATTCTTAATTCCAATTGGTAACAGAGAGACCCTCTTGCAAACCCTTGAAACTCCAGTTACGAAAGGCTGCTCGAGGATGTAAACCACGGCTTCCAAGTGACCAATGTTAACACTGCCAGACAAAGTGAATCAACAACACAAAACGAACATCCAATTAGGGATTTTTCGTTCATCGGCAATGAAGGAGTATTGCGGGTCGGCGCAAATTGAAAGAAATGAAAGCGCAAAGGGGAGTGAGAGGAAGAACCTGAGCGGTGGATTAGGGGACGTAGCGAGACTAGCCGAGGAGCGAGAGAGGAAGTTGAGTTCTGAGTTGGCTAGTTTCAGAAGAGTCCGTCGGCAGGAATCGGTGATGTTTGTGCTGGCGGGTAATCTTGCGACTCTCTCTATCACTCTCTTGCACCTTTCGCTCGCCTCTCTGATCTCTTCCTCCATCTGCAGCTCTGCCGCCGCGGCCGTCGTCTTCGTCATCTGATCTTGCCCTCTTAGTTCCCAGTAGTGAATCCCGTCTGAATTCTCCTTCCGCGAAGCACGCACCCTGAACATTTGCCGCCCGAAAAGATATTAAACCGGGTCGGTTCATTTCCTCTGTTCGGTTTCTGAACCGAATGAATATGTGGTTTGTTTAATTGTTTCTTGGTAGCTACAAGCCTACAACTATTATGAAAGGGAGAATTATATTCACAACTATGTTAATTCAAATTATTAGTCATAACTATAGTAGCGGGTCAAGATATGGCTAATTGTTCGTTACTAATATTGAATTTTTAACGGAAGGCCACGGCAGCAGCCACGTCGGCCTGTTTTTAATTTATAACTTTAAAACATAAAAGTTTCGTCAGCATTACTAACGAAATTGTTTACAAAAAGTTAACGTTTGGCTAATAATTTGAATTTCCATTGTTGTGGCTATAATTCTCCGCTTCATAATAGTTGGCTAATATATTGTATTTACCCTTGTTTCTTTGAGGTCGTTTGGAAGTTGGGATTCTCCAAATTGAAGTATTTAATCAATTTGTATATTGTAATTTGATGTATTGATGAAATGTATGAATTTGAAAAATACCTTGTTTGGATTGTGTTTTGTTACAAATGAAAAATAGATGGTAAACAATCCATTGTTCACAATATCACCTTTTAGTAGAGAATTAGAGATTGATAATCACTCAAATGAGTGATTGTAGGTGGGCCTGGGGAAAAAGTAACACATGTATTATGTCACAAAATTAACTAAAAAAGACTATCTTGACATTACATGTATTAGCGGAATACATAGCTTGAAATCCCAATCTCCAAATGCCCCTTTGTGTTTAGTGGACAAACTGGCTTGTTTACTTTCATTTCTGTTTCCTGTTTTTGAGAAAACAGATGTTGAAAACAGGTGAAAACAACATTTTGTCGTTTCCGAAAACAGCAGGAAGTTGCCACTTTCTGTTTTCATAGTTGGAAACGAATAGAAAACAGAATGAAAAGTAAACAAGTTTTCTCATTTCGGTTGCTAAATTTATCACATGAAAACAGAAAACTGGAAACGAAAATGAAAGTGAACAGGGGCTTATGTTTTCAGAGGCCCAACCTCCAAATGCCCCTTTGTGTTTAGTGGACAAACTTATGTTTTCAGAGGCGTACGTTAAAGCGAAAAAGTTAGTAAAAGTTAGTGGTTATATCACTGCTTTGATTATGTCTCCGCCATTTCAACACGTTAACGATGTCCAGTTCTCATGCTATGAACAAGACGAACTGCAGTGGCAGTACCACCACAACTGCAGCCCTATGTCAGAACCAGATCTCCAGGAATCAAAGCCCTTTGTGGGAGCCATGGAAGCCGTTGGATCATTTAGCCGACGACGTTATCCGCCGTTGGAGCTGTCGATTTATACCTGCAACTACCAGGTGGGGTTCATCTCGTTACCATAATGTAAGGGAGAGGGAGGGAGAGAGCCCAGACATTTAACTATATAATGATTAATGCATATGGAGTATGGACACTCCAACAGTCAAAAGAGATGAGCTGCAGCTTCTTCCTTGTTAGAGACGTTAAGACTACCAGTACAAGCTGCTGCTAAGCTACGCAAACTATTAACAGGCCAAAACAATTAGATCTACTCGTCCGTATGGGAGAAGCGGCCATTAAGGAAGCCTTCTGGTGAGAGTGTATCCACATCAGAAAGAAATTCACCTACCTTCTATACAGAAAATCAAAGCAGATGAATTCGTAAGCCTCTACAACGACGCCTCTACAACGACGCACGCAAAATCAGCTTGTCTCTTTAGTCTTTAGCATGTAGTTACGGGACAGGGCTATTGCCATCTCCAGGAGTCTCTGGGATGCTGGCCAGAACAGAAGGTGACTCGGGCCTCCTCTGCCGATTCCCTCCACCTGTGCGTCTGGCAAAGTACTTGCCATTGAACTCGTCAGCAAGACTTGGGAACTTCTCTCTTACATAGTTCTCCACACACTTGCGGTACGAGAAGTCCTGCCTCGATCCATCCGTGGACACTACAAAGAAGCATCTGCTGTCCTGAAAGCTAGTGTGCTTGCTAACCTGTTGAATTAAGTACCCAAAATTTTTACAAATTGACAAGGGAGAACTAATTGTTCACTACTAAGAGGAAAGATCAAAGTTCACTGAAATCTATTGGAAGCAAGCCAGGAATGAAACACAGGAAGGGAATGGGCATTGTAAAGTTCAGAATAGAAGATGCTAGAATTAAAAGCCAGGTCTGCCACTTTTCATTGCCAAACCCTCCCAATTTTCTGAAGCATTACTCTGTACGCCATTACCCAGCCGAGATGAATTGAGCTCAAGCAACACAAACACGAGTACTTTCCATGACTATGGTCATTGGTCAGTAGCACAGCAAGCAGAAAATATACTATATCTATGAGAACCTAAGATCCTGTACCCCCAATCCATCAAACTTGATTGCCAGATAGTGATCTTCTAGATGGAAGTTAGCCACTGCCATCATATACTATGACATATTTCATGTAAAAGAAGTGAACAAGTAATGATAGTGGCACAAAAACACAGAATGTTTCTTATACCTAATGATAACCTAAGAACACACTACATATAAATGTAAAAATTGTAAAAGGTGTGGCCCAGAGCACATACAGTGATGTAATCGATGCCAGCACCCGTCTTTGCTGCTTTGTCAGGATGGTAACTGAAGACGCTTTCTACAACGTATGTCTGATCATCAGCGGATAATGGATCCCCGTCGTTGTACCTTAACAAATACTTTTTTCAGTAATTCTTCAATGGACATATAGACGCACAGAATATCCGGGGCAAATAGTAGTTAAACATTTTGCTTGACACCATCCAAATAATGCTTATGCACAAAACTACCTATATACTTTCTATCTTACCTGCGAATTTACCATCATACAACTATTAATTCAAACTGTACAAAACACCCAAAGATATGAACACTTACCCAGTATTATGCATGATTCTTCGGATGGATAGCATCAACGGCTCAACAACTGCAAGAATGTCTTGCTCTTCAGTATTGAACAGTTCCACCCGATGCCTGGTAGCCGTGAACACTGGACCCATGCTGAAATCCTCACTCCCAATACCTGGAGATTTAGGAGGGTAATTCTTCTTTAGTTTCCAGTCAGGAGTTTTTACCCAACTTCTAGAGCCTTCAGACCGATTTTTCTTGAAATCTGTTGATCCCCAGGCATGAGAACATTCATCCTGAGAGGTCTTTTCATCTGCTACAGCGCCACCATCATCCTTACTAACAGCTCCCCAACCTCTTGAGCCTCCAGACCTATTGCTAGCCCAATCACTTGAGCCGCCAGACAGATTTTTCTTCAAAACTGATGAGCCCCAGCCATCCGAGTGTCCATCCTGGGAGGTCCTTTTATCCGCTAGCTCAGCAGCTGTTCCCCACCCAGAGGACTCTTGATTTTCAGGTTCCTCCCACGGTTTAGATGTATCTGCAGACCAATCTGAACCAGGCTTGTCAAATTCAGGTATCTTCTTTGTCTGCTGAGTAGCAGGTTTATCCCACCCAGAATTGCCAGATCCGTCATGGGTTCTGGTCGCAGCTGCTTCCCATCCAGAATTGTCGACTTCTGGTTTTTTCACTCTCTGCGAAGCAGCTGGTTTATCCCACTGAGAATAGTCAGATTCTTCTTGGATTGTTCTGGTGGCACCTGCTCCCCATCCAGAGGACTGTTGATTGTCAAGCTCTTCTTCGGGTTTAGCTGTTTCCACATTCCAATCAGGAACAGACTTGTCAGATGCTTTGTTCTTTGTCTGGCAAGCAGCAGGTTTATCCCAGCCAGAATTGTCAGAATCTTCTATGGGTCTTCTGGTGGCACCTGCCCCCCACCCAGAAGACTCTTGATTCTCAGTTTCCTCTTGGGCATTTACAGTCCAAACTGAGCCAGGCTTGTCAAATTCTGGTTTCTTCTTCGTCTGCCAGCTAGAATTGTCCCAGCCAGAATTGCCAGATTCTTCTTGGGTTCTAATTGCAGCTGCTCCCCATCCAAAAGACTGCTCCTTCACAGTACCCACATCCCAACTAGCATCACCCTGGTCCACAGCCTCAAGTTCCAAACTGTCTTCAAATTTGGGCTTGTCGGTACCAGTCCGGTCAGGGGACAAGTTCCAGTCATCAATCTCATCCACTGGAATAAGATCGTCCACTTCCACGCCCAAAGAACCTGGAATCCTGCCTTCCTCATTCGTACTACTACGGACAATGTTGATGAAGTTGTAGATATCCACTGGTTCATCTTGATTCAAGGATGACTGCCAAAATAGTACATATGGCCATTAGAATAAGTACATAATATAATATTACGAGATTCATTCACATAAATGCCAAAAGAAATTAAAAGCAAAAATTGGTGACAACTTTGGACATGACTCTGAAAGTTGAAACATAAAAACGAAGTGGTTATATCAGAAGATGAAGACAGTGTGCAATATATTGGTTTGTCTAAACTAAAACCCGATATAGCGATAGTAACAGTTTATTGTTCCTTGAAGACAGAGACAAGGAATTTGTGTCAAAGAGAAGAGAGCAATTTATCATAAGAATCACATATATTATCTTACAAATGATCTTTTATAAACAACTTTGCTAATCTTATATTAACTTAAGTCAATTCTGCATGATCATTTACATAAAACCTTCCTGAACAATCATTAACTTACATCAATATGTCAAAAAAAGAATAACCAACATAAGCTAGAGGGTAAAAGATCAGAATTGGAGCCTAAAGATCAACCATAGTCAACATTCACAAACATAATAATACCTAGAGGGTAAATGGTCTGAATTGAATCCTAAAGATCAAGAACAGTGATATTAGACATGTACAAAACTATGGACTACCGGAATAATAGCTAGAGCACAAACAATCTAAATAGAAATCGAATATGTATAACTGATTTGTCGAGTAAGTATAAAACAACCAAATTTGTGATGGTGGTGATTAAAACCCTCACAGCTTGACATTACGACACAATTTACCATTTCATGAGTTCAAATGACAAAACGGAGCAAGGTTTTGCATGCGGAACTAAGGTCAGGGAAAATACAGTCAAACAAGGAAATGGAAAATTATGAGAATCCCGAAAGATGGTTTTGTTAAACTTCAGACAGCATTTAGCTAGACCAAATTTGTGATGGTGGTGATTAAAAGGTTTTGCATGCGGAACTAATAAGATCAGGGAAAATATAGTCAAACAAGGAAATGGAAAGTTATGAGAATCCGAAAAGATGGTTTTGTGAAACTTCAGACATCATTTAGCTAGACCAGAACTTGAACTTTAGCATTTGGCTTTACTCACCCTAGGTTTAAAACTCTACAAGTCAACATTTACCATTCTTAATGGTTGAATCTATCATTGACATCAAACAGAACCTATGAACTAATTATCACTTTCAGAAAGAAGCCATGCAATTGAAACAAATTTAAGCACCTCCTTGTTATCCCAAAGTACGTCAAACCGGGACCCTGTACCAACAGCAACTGGACGACCCCATGAACAAGATGCCACGATGCTGGACAGATCATCTACATGACACTTTTCTGCAGCCCTCTCAAAGCATCTTCTTGGTGTCTGCGCAAAAACACAAAAAACAGTCAGTTCAAGTCATTGACGCAATACATGATTTTTCAGGTGTTCTGTGCTTGTATGTATATACACACAAACAGAAACACACAAGTACATACAAATAGGGTTGCCTCCGTAAATGGCACTTGGACATCCAACGAGCGCGACAGGGCTTTATATCCTCCGGAATTGAACCCAACTAAGTTTCCAGCACATGTCATGCTGTTGGCCAGCAGAAAAAGATGCTCTTTAAGCACACCCTTTGCTACCATTGTCACTGACGTTGACAGTCGCTGCAACCGGTACCAAAACGGTGTAAAGAAGTGAGTTCTTCCACAGCTAATACAAATAGATCCAACAAGCAAGCAACTCATTACCTAAACACAACAAAACTGAAATCACAGCCACAGTCTAGACGTAAGTATAGGAAATGATCAAACAGAAGAACTCCCCTGACTACGAACTCGTAGGTTTGACTCTCACTATATGTGTGTGGGGCAGGGAAAGCAAAGGATAAATGAAAATTTACATTATACCAAAATCTAAACAGGAGGACATCTATCCCACAAAAAAACAAAAACAAAAAGAGCATATGAAAGCAGGAGAAAGCAATGAATAGTCTACAGTTTTGAATAAGCTGCAGAAAAAAGTAAGATACCTGAACTGCTTGATCAAATGCACAAGATATTCCCAGCAATTCCTGAACTTGCTTTATGGCATATGGGACAGAACGTGTCATATCAATTAAATGTAGAACAGGAAGACATGAATCAAGCACAGTCCTCCAGGCCTCACCACTCCGCTTCACTGCCTTTTTCTCCAGAACAATATCCAAAGCAAGTTCTCCCTTCTGAGCCCCTGAAGGGTTCCTTATCCATGAAGTCGTATCTGGGCTAGCCCAAATTATATTTACTGAAGAAACCCGTTGGTCTCCTGTACATAGTGAGAGCCATAGCATTAGTACCAACTTCAAAGAAGGTAGGACCCTTTTGTGCCACTTTATGCCAGCTGTAGTATTGTAAAGACAGCACATAATTGCAGAAGACAATCTCATATTCTAGCATAATCATAAGGCACACCAGAAATGGTGAAAGACTGGCAGAAGTTCCAATCTTGAAAATTTCTTCATCTGTTGCAATAAACCAGCCTCAGTGATGCAGAAAAGAAAAAAGAAAAAAACCTCATGATGCAGAAAACCAAAATTGGATCGCGTTAATTGGTTCAGACTTCAGAAAACATATTCACTGCCAGAGACATGCCAAATACACACACATTTAAGTACTAACCAAAGTATCTGGCCAATTGAATAAAGGAAGGCTGAAGCGAAAGAACTAAAAGTAACACCTTTGACAATTGCTTCCATCAAAAGTGGGCAAACCATGTCAGCTAGAACTTCAATTGTCCTTTCCAAATTGATATCACATGATTCTCCCAAACAGAAACTCAAGCAGGGCATCCCCAAGGAATCATCAGAACAGGAGTCCTGGAAGGGGCAACACTCGCTGCTAAGAAGAAGCAAACTTGTCAGAAGAATGGTGCATCCCAGAATGTTCAAAGAGCACCCAGCAATTGCAACCATGTATGAAGTTACATCTCAGAAGTGGTTCTAAACATGGCCTGAGAGAACGAACAGATTGACATCCAAAATAGGAGGCCATCCAAACTCTAACCAGACCAATGCAAAAAACGAGCAAATCAAATAGCTGCTTCTCCTCAGACTATCTCTCACCTCAGAAAACCCTTATCAAAGGAAAAAGAAAAGTGTATATTTGAAGCACAGTCACGCATAATTCAACAACAAAAATACTTACCGCTCTATTGCATTTCCCCATTCCTACTTTCAGGGAAGGCAAAAGTAAGAAGATCAATGTTCCACCCCCCAATATAGGGTAGCAGTTACAACCAAGAAACAGGACAACACATAAAATAAGCTGCATGGCAACACCAGTCCTTTGAACACATTGCAAGAGTTTTAAAAAAAAAATCTCGTAGAGAATTGACATTGAGCTAATTGCAAGCAATAGAAAGGCTCAACTTTTTTCCTGATACCAAGTAGCTTACAGCATCGATCACCATCTCTTATACTAACATCTTTAGATGGATATGAAGTACAGTATAAACCATCAACGCAAAAGCTTCTATAGTTCATACCAAACCACAAAGTAGAATAAATAAAGCCATGATATTGCTTACACTTAAATAAAGCCAAGATGGAAGTTTATAACAGATAATTGTGTCAGTCATTCTAGAAAACATAAAATTTCAAAACAAAAGAGAGAGCAGTGCCAGCGATGAGCGTGGAAAGATAACAATTTCAAGGTAAAGATCAAACAAGAAGAGCTACAGAAAGGTTGGTCAGAATTAAGTTCACATAAAAATGAGCTCCGGACGGTTCCACCCTTACAGGCCCCTTGCAACAGACAAAAATGAGGCTTTCAGCACATTGGAGTCTGAAATATGTTACGACAGCTTTAAGCCAAACTACAGGATCATAACTTCATGGGAATGGGAAACCAAGTGCAGCACAAATCAGCTACAATCTAAACAACAAAAGAGGTGGGAGAAAGGGGCAGCTACCCTAAGAAAAGTTTCAACTCCTAAACAAATCCTGGCAGCATTACCTTAACGAATATGGCTCACCAGATATTAGAAGAGAGAAGACTAACCTCACAGACAGAGTTGTCGTCTTGAAAAGGCGGCTAAGCTTTTTTCTCTTACGAAACAAGTTGATTGCATCTTGGCATTTTTTTAAAATGTCATCCATTCTTATCGTCAAATCATGTAGTTTAACCTGTTCATAAAAGCTCAGGTTAAAACTTACCAGCAATGACGATTGATTCTGAAGCAAGCCCAAAATCATTAGCCAAACTGTGCAAAGAAAAAAAAGGTTTCAAGTCAGTAACCTTTTTAAGATGAATATGACCAACAAGGCCAGAGTCGACACCAAAGTCATTTGCTCCAGTCGGTTGCCTCTTGTACCTGCTTGCAAGATCGCCGTCAATATCCACAGTATGATACAGATACTTATCATGTAATATTGCCCCAAGTAAAATTGCTATGAGAAGACACATTGCTCAAATAAGTACCACAGCTGATAATAGATCACACTACAGAGGAAGTAATGGCTAATAATGACCAAAGTAGCAATCAACATTGTAGGATTCAAAAAAGTTGAAGCATGTATATTTAAGTACAAATAAACCAATTACAATAATAAATCAAGTGGAGGCATTCAAGATAGAAAATTTTAGATACAGGGAGAAGAAATAAAATTGATGTTAAAGATGAAACTTACTCAATCATAAACGACTCTGCAATATCCTTGAGACTAACTTTCTCCAGGTGATTTTTAACCCGGTATGCTGCTTTTTCTTGGCAGAAATTCCTTCCGCATCCACACTCATTGAGGTACAAAATCACACGCCGGTCATTTTGATCATTCTTGAAACCAACTTTGCAAAGTAGAATTTCCTGAACAGAAACAGAAAGGCACATAAGCAGCTAAAATAGCAGAAGGAAAAGTGCGATTTCAATTGAAACAATAACTACCTTCATCAGCTCCCAAGAAGAATTGCTATTGGGACTAGAATCAAGCACTGCCTTGTATGCAGGATTTGACATTGCAGTTGCAGCTAAAACACCAACAGGTTCACCAGCAGCAAAGGCACTCTGAGACTTCGTTCCAGCAGTCAACCCATACTGAAATTGAATGATAGAATTGCTGCAAACATTTCTTACTGTTCCATCGTAACAAATAACCACATCACGAAGGATAGCCATCAAATTCTTGAACAAGGTTCCAGGTTCTGACAAGCCCCTTGAAGAACGAATAATAACCTCCCTGCTAGATATTGAATGAACAATCTCTTCATACGGATCTAAGCCACGGAAAAAACAGCTCTTTACCAATCCGTATTGTGCAGAAGGGTAATCAACAACATCAACAGGATATCTGCTCCTAAATAGTGAGGCGACATCCTCAACTAGCAACTTCGAATAGAATTTACCCCGATCTGAAATTTGTAGGCCCAAGAATCCAATTTGCTCCACCACCTTTTTTAGACCTGAACCGCTCTTAGAATGTATCAAATCCCCTAAAGCAGAACGTCTAATGAAATCTACAACTGGTTGTTTCGCCTGCTGGATATGATTTTCTATCTGAGATTCAATCAATGCATTATAGGTGGTTCTTATATTACCCAGCAGAGGAGAAATAACCTTAAACTCGCAGTAAATGCGGTCTCTAACAATCCCGGACAGCAAGAAATCTTGCAAACCAATGCTAACACCGTTAGCATACAAGTGCTCCATCAATAAGGGCTGCACTGAGTTGAAGAACCTAAGGACAGCTTCAGGACCCTTTTGAAAGAAAATGGAAGTGGCTAAGTCATTAAGCACATCACCGTCACTATCCACCTTTAGGAAGTCACTGTTACGGACCAAGTAACTGTCCTCAGAGCAAATCAAAGAATCAGGAAGGGCTGACTCTAGTATCTGCAAAGCCGTCCAATAAGGCCCCATTTGCTTGGCCTTTAACAAAAAAGGCGATGGCAAAGAACATGGCAAAAACATCGAAAGTTGTTGAGCAGCAGCCCTATCAAAGAGGTAGCTCTTTACCATTGACTTCAGTGACAACAGTGAGTCAGTGGATAGTTGCAAAATCAAGTTGCCACTATGCGAGCTGAGCAACTGCTTCTCTACAGAGAAAAGTTCCAAGACTTCAGCTTTTGCAGCTACGGACTGGGGGTAGAACAAATGAATGCAATCCCCGTCGAAGTCAGCACTTAGTGGTCCACAAATCAGGGGGTTTATCTTCACTGTGTGGTCATCATGCACATAAACGGACAATGCCTGCAATGAGTGCTTATGGGTTGTGGGTGGTCTGTTCACAAAAACCCTATCACCGTCCACGATCCTCCTATGGACAATCTGACCAATCCTTAGAGAAGTGTGACCTTTGGAACCTTCCCTAAGAGAGTACATGGAAGTACCATCCCTATAAGTCAGACACTGCTTGTTGTCCACGAGGTCTTGCAAGTGCTTGATGTTGTGATCATTAACCCTCTCCTCAATTGTAATTCTCTGAGCAATTTCATGGGGAATTCCAATTTCGTTTACTCTTGTATAGGCATCTCCGGTTATCACAGTGCGAGATGAGAATCCAGATCCCTTCCTTATGAACAAAGTCCTCATCTTCTCAAGCCATGCTTTAGTAGCAGACTCAGTGGCCTCCCTCTTCACCCCAAATCGAGCACCATCTACATCGCGAGAAGACTTTGCCGTACCCCGAATCTGAAGATACTGATAAACTGCTGATTGTAGATCATTGACCTCGACTTCATGAGATTCGAAATTAGGTGGACCAGAGCGTGAACTTTTGATAATCTCAATCTGCTTTAAAACTTTCTTAAGCACTGATATAGAGAGATCCTGTAGGAAGTACAACAAAGAGTAGCATTACAACCAATAAGAAAGATATCACAGCATGACAATCAACTCAATGCAACATGTCTCACCGCAGACATGACACTGGCACCATCTGAAATGTCAGGCGCAGAGAGGCAATTCGGAGGAACTGGCAAATACCGCAAAATGTATCCATCCTGAGGAAAATAGCCTTTCTTAATAAGCTTTTTTCTTGTGTCCTCGACAATCTTCTTGAGCATTTCCATGACCTGCCACACCAATAAATTAAATGAGAACCACCTGGCCAGGAAGTCAAAACAGGCACTTGCTATTCGTTAGGTCTCAACTGGTAATTGAGGCAGTAAAACTTTATAGAACATGTAGCATTATGAAGACTGGACAACTAGGATAAAGGTATTCGCATAGACAAATTAAAATCTTCTCCACCGAGGCAGAAAACAAACAGGAAACAACGGGAAAACAATAAGGCATCCATGCCACCTAAATTGTGATCATAGTGAAAGGAAGCAAACATGTTGGGGACAGAATCTTAAGTAGATCGGATATGAAAGAGGAAGTAAGAAACAAACCTCACACGGAAGCAAAGTGCGGGTATAGCCATAACCATACCGGAAGCCATATCTCTCTAAGAAGTTCCACACACCATCCGTCAGTTTTGATCTAGCTGGCAGTTTCAATTGTAAAAGGCATGCACCATCAGCTGTCCTAACGTCTTTAATAGAAACTTGAGAAGCTTCCTGCAACATACACCAAAACACATGAAAAGATCACCTTGATTAAGTAGATGTTACAAGCTCCAGAATCTTGCTGGTTTTCATTAAGCAACCCTCATAAATGTGTATCAACAACAAAGAGCTATTTTAATGTATGGCAACAGGATATAATGAAGGCCACTAGAAATATTGGGATACGCAGAATCTAGAGAAACAGAATTACAGCAGAGGAAGTCTTTTTCCTGGCAAAAGAAAAATATCTCCAAGATATTGATGACCAATTTTCAGCATCAAATAGTTGATATCTGATGTCCAAAAATTGATGCTCCTCTACTGTCCTTTTTTGAGTTACAAGCAAACAGGAACTAATTCTTGGCTAACTACATTACCTGAAAGTTTAGAGAACTCATTCCTCTATACTTTGCTTAGAAAGGAAATCACAAATTACCTTTTTTCCCGAAGTTACAATCCAAGAATAACAAATTAAGGAAAAACGTCGACAGCCAACAGGCAAACGTGGACCTCAATAGAAGTAACACGAAAGTACATATATCTTGTCAGGAGAAAGAACACAAAACAAAGACTATCAAATATCTTTGAGTCCTCCTTTACAGAGAATTCATCTATACTAACCTCACAACATGAAAGCATTCGTTCAGCCATACCACTGTGCTTCATTTGGACCTGTAGATCACAAACAAGGAAATTCTTATCCTCAATGCCAATAATTGTCTACTATTATTCAGAAATTAATAAACATGTGCAGTAAGACTCAGGTCAATGTGCTCAGCGTATGGGATTATTCCAATAAAGAAAATAAAGCCATGGCTATATGTAGATTTCATAACCCTTGCACTCAATGATATGTTGGCAGTTACCTTGTTTCTTTTCAGCTTCAAGCACTTTAAGCATAACAAGCTCAACAGGCTTTTCAGCTCATTCACATGGCTTGGATGATAGATCGGTATCGGCAACTCAATATAGCCAAAGTGACCTAGATGTGGCAAAGGTGAAGGATACAATGCTTTAGTAAAATAATCAAGCATCACATATTATTTAAGCACAAAATACCAAAGAGCATACCTTCACATTCTTTCACTTCAGTAGTACCACAAGACTCGCATTTACCAAACTCCAGAGGCAACCCAAGGAATGGGTTGGTAAGCTGCGTTGAATGGCTAATAGGACATTCACTGACAGATGCTACACACTGTTGAACAAGAAATGAATTAGAAAATTAAATGCTCATTGTCTGAATCAACAGTCAACTCATAAATGCAGTTGCCCTAAACTTGCAACTTCTCCAACTAAACTAAGTGAAACAATAACAATCAAACTGCAAGAGAAACTGTACTAACAATTTCCTTGTGAGTTGCAAGTCCAAATCGGATCCCAACTATCTCGCCTTCTAAGGCTGCTGATTGAGGCTTTTCCTCCATTTCCTGAAGCTTCCTTCAATAAAGATGAAATTATGTCTCCACAATATAGACAATAGTGAAGTTTCTAGTAACATAACAGCAAAGGATAAGCACAGATCTATAAGCAGGCTGATTCTGGACAAGGAAATCAATAACCAATATAAACCAACAACTGTAGCATCCAAGTTCTTTTAGATAAATGTGAGTTTCATTATATGATAGAATCAAATAACTGATATGTACAAAAATTGTGTTGCTTCACATGGTGTGCATGCCATAACAAACAACAAAGAGCGGAGAGAAAAGCAGGAAACAGTGGAAAAAACTGAGTACATCGGTGAACCACAGAAACAAAGGCATCTCACTATTCCTACAGCCTCGCCATTCTCAATGGGTAAGCCACAGAAACAAACCACTTCTCACAAAGAGATTTAGATGCTTTCCGTTGCAAAACAACCAAGCAGCAAGAGAATAGCACACTCTATACACCAAATTCTGTGAGCTCAAGTGTTGATCCCTGAATATGTTGTTTTTCCTAGCAATCCAAGTATGTCATGGTGATTCCATCAGTCTTTGCATGCATACCTGCGGACGATTCCTTGATTTCCAGGCAATTGATTCAACGCAAATGGCAATAGGTCTAGGCTTCTGATAGTGTCCTCACTTTGGTTTCTATCTTCGCTATATTGCTCTCTGATTTTACTTTTGACCCTCAAACAAACGAAATGGGAAAGATAAAGTTAGAAGCATGGAAAAAGGTAAATGCAGTTCCGACATCAACGATGTCAAGTCAAACGAAAAAGGGAAGGGTGGTGGCAGACACAAAACAGCTAAATAAGTCCCCTGCAAGCTTTTGGGAAGAAATTTTGCCACTCCATAAAGAAAATTTAAACAGAGGTACTCCAGTAACCCAACTCAACCCACATGAAACAAGTCGATCAGCATTCTTGGGCTCTCACTGGCGAGGGAAAGCGGGAAACCCTAAATAGAGCCCAGCACTTAAGACGCAAACGAAGAACCCAGGAAATGCACAAGTACTAGGGAAACAAACTCGACCCAGCTCTGAAACGAGCCACCATAAAAGGAAACGCCGCCTCTTACACTCTGGCGTCAGTTTCACGAACACCAAATGACACCACACCACTTTGCATGCAGAAATGGAAAGCCACCTACCCACACTCTCACTTTCTACTCTCTCTAAAAACAAGAAATGCAAGCTGATGAACAGGCCGAAGGAGATTACCCACCGGGAATTTCAAGCCCTCCTCCCCACCGGGAGCCAAAACACCGTCAACACAAGAAGAATGTAGCCTACCGATCTCTGTGTGAGAGAGAACTTCAAACGGTCCCAAAAGGGTTTTGGGTTTTTCGTTTGTTTTAATTGCAGTCTCAATGAAAATGATGAATCATCGCGTACGGATGTACGGTACTACTACTAGTAGTGGGGGAGAAGGAAACAAATCCAGTTGGTCTCCGGAATGCAGACAAGCAACATGAAGGACTTAAATGGAAGAGAATATAAGTTTGGTACTAAAAGATAAAATCCTTACATATCCAGTGGTCACTTAACAAAATCCGTTAAGCGACATCGTTTACAATTGATGAACGAGTGATTATTTATTTATTATTTTATGTAGGCTAGATGCTAATAACCAACCATTAGTGTTAAATTATGTTCACCATTGATGAACGAGTCATTTTTTAGAATATGCAACTGATCAGACAATGAATGGAGAAAATATAAAATCGCGAAAACTTCAGACTTATGAAGGAGGAGGCCGTCAAGATTGAGAAGAAGACAACACAACACGAAACATGACATTGAGAAAAGATGGAAATGAATCTTCTCATAAGCTACCTTTAGTAGGCAAGCCCTGGCTCGCCCTCATGTTCACCACCTCACACACCTAAATGTGTCACATTTAGTTACCCATCTGTGAAATTGTGAATGGGTCTCCCTTTACACAATGCCATTATTCATAGTTTCAGACTCATTTCAGCTAGCAAACTTACACATGACTAGCCAATTGAATAGATAATTGAACACTTACTTCACGCTACTATCAATGACAGTTTTTCACAAAAGTATTTCATAGTTTGGCCACAAGAAATCCCCCCACAAACCAAGTCTTTTTCAATTGTCCATCCATTCCCCAGAATGGCCAGCACCATTCTGAATAGCAACAATATATAAAAACACATATCAACTAGCTAGCTGGTAAAAACGTACGTCTAATCCCTCCTCAATCATCATTAATATCCTTCCCCTCATCGTTTTCACCATCCTCTTCATCGCTACTTACGTCTCCCGCGTGCATGTCAACAAACAAATGCTGGGCATGACTTGCAGCTCTGAGCCAATCCTTGAGGCAAACGCACATCTCCGCAGTTTCTAGCCGAATCTCCCACCTACGACTGTTAACTTCCGGCGAATGGAAATCAAATGTATCATCCGGCACTTTGGCTGAAGCTAGAGGCGCCAATACTTCACGAGCCATGGTAGACAGCACCGGATATTTAACCTGGTTATGTTTCCACCATTTCAAGACATCAAACATGTCCAGTTTATCAATGTCTTCTTCCATGCTGAAACCAGACACATCATTAGATGACAGGTAATAGTTGAGCTCAGAGTAAGAATCCACATCACCGCCCTTTCTCATACTACGAACAAGACGAACTGCAGTTTTAGTACCGCTACTGCTGCAGCCTTCTGCTCGAACCAGATCTTTGGGAATCGGAGTAGGGCTATACTGCTGAAAATATGCATCATACATTCTGTAGAGTAGAGCCTGAACCTCATCTTTCGTATTGCCAATCGAGGAATTCATGTTAGCATGATAAGCATCCAACAACTTGAACAAGCCAGCTAGTTTGTATCTGGGATCCAAGATTGTTGCAAGACAATACACCATGGGGATTCCTTCACCACCCCAGTAAGCTGAAAACTTAGCCTGCAGGCCAACACAAAACTGACCAACATGTTTGTCATCTCTATACTGGGCAAATGCTTCACTCAGAGTAAAAAGTATGGGAATGACCAAGTTGGTATTCGGAACATAAACGCTACAGAAGATATCAAAAGCTGCCCTGAACCTTTCAAAGAAGTCTCTCATGCTGCATACAACTTGCCATTCATCTTCGGCTAAGGGTTCTCCATCATGACAATAAGTACCAGCAGCAAACTCACGGTTACAAAACTCAGTAAGTATGTGGCGTTTGCGAATGAAAGCATCCAGCATATCATAAGTCGTGTTAACCCACTCCGGTGTATCCGGAAGCAATCTTTTATGCCTCACACAGCTCTGGCTGCACATCTCTTTAAACTGCAGTGTCCTTGCCTCATCCCAGTAGATGAAATCAATAGCATCTCTGACCTTATCGAGCTGCGTAGAAATCACTGAGAACCCATCTTCGAAACATGAATTGAGAATGTGATACGCACATTTGCTATGGAAAAGCCGCTCACCGAATACCGGATTCAAAGAAGACCGCAGCTGTGAAACGGCATCAGGAACATTGGTCAGAATCAGATCATCGAAGTTCATTGAGAGGATTTTACCCTGGAGCCCCCATTTCGAAACGGCTTCCATAATCGAAGACGAGACATTCTCAGGATCCTCCATCGGCCAATCTAGCCGCAGCCAGCCTATAACCCTGCTTTGCTTCTCCCAATTCTCATCAATCCACTGACAGCTCAAGTACAAATAAGCCAGGGTCAAACCCGATAGAATGAAATTGTCAGGGTCCGGCCAGGGCCAGGACCAGACGCCACTGGTCAACGAGACGCGACAGTTCAAATCCCTAAGAGTCGAGCGCAAAGACTCGGTCTCGGTTCCAAAAAGCTTCATCGCACCTCTCCTAACGTTTACACTCGTGACCTTAGGGGCAGCCGGGTTCAAAATTATGAAAGTCTTCTGGAAAGCAACACTGTCAACGAATAGAAACGGTAGAGATTCGGAAACCGCCCATTTAACAAGATGAATCCCACCTGGTATTAGCTGGTAAACATCGTCGGTACCGGCGGAGGATAAGGCATCTGTGTCCGCCAAAGGATGGTTCTTCGTGTCCTCCGGATCCAACGGCTCTGGGCTGCGGCGCTTCGCTCTCCGTTTAGGGTTTCCGGAACTCCCTTTACTGGAAAAGAGTGAACGGGCTGGAGGATCCATAACGCCCGAAATCGAGATTCACCTGAACTGTGAAAGAAGAAGAGAATCGAGAGGCTGCGCCGGAGAAAAGACGATCGGGGATTCAGCTTCAGAGTAGACGAAAATGTTGAATGAGGTCAGTGGAGAGGGATAGAGAAGTGGGGAAGTTCAGTGAGAAGAATGGCAGGCGCAGAGGAGAAAGTGGGCGCGGTATTTGAGAGGGGAAATCCCAAACCGTTCGATGTCTTTTGGCCACTGGATTCTTATTTAACGCCCTAAATTTTTAAATTTATCACTCTACATTTTACTATAGTGACTATTTTGCTCCTAATAAAAATAACTCTCAACCGGCCAACTTCTTCCCCTTCTCCTGCCGTTCTTTTTTCCCAGCAATCAACTCCGCCCTTTCTAATTCGCATGCTTAAATATGATAATTACTAATAATACATTCATACGAATCACAAAACCAACTTTAAATTATAAATGAACATGTCCATTTATAATCACAAGAAACCGGGACGGGTTAGCATGCTAACCCTTTAAGGGGTTGGTTTTTTGACACCCTCCTTTTAATTGGTCAATTTTTCATTAATTATTGACAAGTATTAATGAAAGTAAACATAATAAATGTTCTGTTATTAAATACAAAGTAAGCATTAAATACACCACATTAATTACCACTTTATTGGTATTTGTACCACTGCACTGATACTCAGATATGACATTGCTACCAGTGCACTGATATCGCTACCAGTGCAGTGGTATATCTACCAGTACAGTGGTACAACGTATCAGTGCAATGGTATATCTACCAGTACAGTGGTACAACGTATCAGTGTAGTGGTATATTTTATGGAGGTGGTCGGAGGGAGTCTGCCGATGGGATTTTCACCGGAGAAGTGTGGCGGTCGGAGGAAGTCTGGTGGTCGGAGACTGCTGAAAAAGGAAAAATAAAAAATATAGTGAGAGAATTCCTAATGTGTATTTAATGTGTGTATTTAATTCCTAATGTGTATTTAATAGTGAGAGAATTCCTAATTAATATGGTACATTTAATTCCTAATGTGTATTTAATGTGTGTATTAAATTCTATAGTTGTATTTAATATACTAGGGGGTGTCATTTTTCCAACCCCTAAGGGGGGTTAGCATGCTAACCGACCTCCAAGAAACCGCCACTGGAGGCAGGGACGGATATCCAACCCACCTACTCTCCGATCGCAGATTGATTTCCTTCCCGCTCCCCCGCGAAAACCTGTCTCAAACACGTCGGCGACTGGTTTTCAGCCAGTTCTGTTTTCGTCCTTGAAATAAAAAATTACATCAATCTGCGGCTACCTCCACCAACGGCGACTACGAGAGAGGACACAGCTTCTCATTCCTCCTAGGCTCGGCGGCAGGGTGGCAACTGGGCACACTGAAGACGGTGAGGCTTGGACTGAATTGGATCGTTTACAAGGGTCGCCGGTCGTTTTTGAGTTTGCGGGCGACATGCTGTATTTCCAGGAAGGGGGCGAAGACAGAGGTAGGGCGGAGGAATTGAGGGCAAAATCGCCTGCTGGTGTAAATTTAGGGCGATAAATTTAAAAACTTAGGGCGTCAATTATTAACTCCCTTTGGCAAAGGGCCCGATTTTCAAATCTATATGTGCAAGCTAAAACTGGGCCGGTGCACCATCTTCCGCTAGGCTTTGTCGCACGGCCCATCCACACGGCAATATGCCATCGTAATCATTAATCAACTAGCTTGACCCCGACCCTTGGCCGGATGAGTTTCTACTTTCTAGCATTCACATATTTATTGATTTAATTTAATGTTGTTTAAACTGAAAATTCTTGATTTTTTTATGTATCCTCCAAATAAGGAGGTTCCTCTCTGGTACCTATTTCATTATATTTCTCCTAGCTTCTGGGCAGTCTTAGGAAAGAGTTCTTGGTCATCTACTACTTTTTATATTTAACAACTTAGTCATGATATAGGTATGTGAATATATTAGGATAACAACATCACAAGGTTAAAGATGGGTGATTTCAAAAATCACATGTCATATTAATTTTTAAGGTAAATACAATTTATTAGCTAAAAAATTTAAAATTTTAAAATTATTAATCTAACTTTCGAAATACAAAATATTAGCCAAACATTAGCTACCCGTTAGCGGTTTTATTATTAATGTTGATATGACATATGATATTGGGTCGGAAAAGACACGTGGAAGTCAACCTTTCAAAACTTTAGTATTTTAATTAAAAAAAAGAGTTACAAAATTATTATCAATAACAGGAAAATGATTAATATTTTGATAAGTTACAAACAATGTGGCTAATACTTTGCATTTTGAAAGGTTCAGCCAATAATTTTGAATTTCTGAAAGTTTTGGTTAATAAATTGTATTTATTCTAATTTTTATATTATTAACAATTATCTTTTCCAATTTGACTCCTAAAAAAATGTTTCGCTAATTATCCAAACGACTAAACAATGCTCTAATTCTATCTTACAAAATTGAATGTAAGTACATATTGTAATTACCATATTCTATACATCTTATAATTTAATGTTTTTTCATGCCATAAGTGATTGGAAAATGATTTACAAAAAACATGCTATACCATATACTCATTTATTATGAATTCCTAACTGTGAAAGATAACTTATATAGCCCTTCATAAGTAGATTTAATTATATTTGCTGAAATTTCAGGCATAAAGCATATCCTGAATTTTATGAAGCAGTTGCAAATTGTAAGGACCGAGATCTCAATGTGCATCTAACTATACAGTATGTTCTAAATGTTTTCTCCGGGGCATCCGCGGGCAAACAACTCCTAATGGCAATGGTTTTGTCATGTGTCAGCCTCGAGAGAACAACTAATTATTCATGGTGAATAAATACCCTCTCACTAAATAATTGATTTATTGTTCATTATGAAAGATACATATTGTTACGATTTCAAACTCATATAATACCAATGATAACAAAAGAAAGGAAATCACGGAAAATGTTTATAAATTGGACGAGGAAAATGATGCTTTGTATTTGAAAGGATTTTACAATTGATATTTTTAGTTTGATGAATCGCAAGAGAAGAAAGCAGATACTATTGGAATACAAAATAGAAGGAAAAGACAATTGATAATTGATATAGAGGTGTCACTAACGGAGATGAACACATTGTTATTGATGGAGATGATGATGATTCTCATGATGGAGAAAATGCAAATAAAGCCAATAAAACTAGCTTTTTACCCGGCTCGTTGGCCGGTGAGATTTATTTTATAATTTATATTAATTAAATTATTTATATGTTTAAATCATTTTGAATCTTTTATTGTGTTATTGATTCATAACAAAGTTTGTAGTATGTTTATATTGAAAATTTCCAATATTTAGCACACTCACTTGTGATGCTTCGGTTTTCTAATCATAAATTATGTCGTTGTCACGTCTCATTTAGAACTTATGTCAAACTTTGTAAATCAAAACACTAATATTTATCGTATGTCAACCTAAACCACACACACACACACACACATATATATATATATGGTGCCTTCTATCGTACCGTGGTTAAAATCTAGGGTACGGCATACCCTTAGTAAGAAAATCCTATCTAGACCTCGAATTAACCGGATTTTGAGGCATTATACTATACCCTAACCCTGGATGAGTGAACCCTTGGTCTTAGTTATCTAAATCATAGACCCTAAACCCTAGGATTGTGTATGTAATTTGTTGCATATGTTTCGACGAATCATTACCATCGATTTTTGTTTCTAGTTAAATTGATCTTAGTGTATGATTTTTTTTAGAATTAAGGCCTAGATTTTAATCTATAAGAATTAGGGTATACTACCACATTGCAAACTTTTGTTAATTCGAGGTCTAGATAGCATTTTCTTACTCAAGGTATGATATACCTTGATTTTAGTCAAGGTACAACAGAACCATCCATATATGTATATATAGTTCAAGCTAGTGTGCACTATACTTTTTCATTCACACTACCATACGACCATTGACTTTTACTATTTAGACCCCGAATTAACCGGAATTTTTTGGAGCATGATATTATACCCTAACCTCTAATTTATGCACATACTTCAGCATACCTATCTTATATCATATTTTGAGTAAAATCAAAAGTATAGTATACCTTGACATTATATATGTGTGTGTATATATAGTAGGCTCAAAATTATCCAGATACTTCGCCAGACCTATCTTATATCGCCTAATACTCATATTAAAAGTGCTACTTGCTTATCCCCACCCCGGGATAAAGATCCTGCTTTTACCCCCATAACATCAAATAACCATTGGGGTTGTCTATCGTTCTATATGTAATATATAAAGAGGCAAATCCTAAGATCCTGCTATTTATTTCATATTCTCTCCTGCCGCTCCCTTTATGGAGAATAAAAGGGTAGGGATGACAGGATCATAACTCGATATGGTTTTATTCTGTTCATCGTATCAGAGGTTATGTTATTTTTTGATTTTTTGGGCTTCTTTTCATTCTTCTTTGGCACCTATGGTTGTGATCAGAAGTATTTAGCCCT